CGACTTTGACAATGTCAGTGCATAATTGTTGTACATCATACTTTCACAATGTCTTAACAGAAAATTGAGAAAAAAAAATTTCGCCAACAATAGAATCGGCTTCACCACATCTTCTGGCAATAGGTGTCGAATACCAATTGGGAGCAGACGTTGCAGTATGAAATGACAATCGTGAGTCTTCAGCCTAAAAAATTTGCCCCCATCAACGTTTACACATTGTTCGATATTTAAAGCATACCCATATAGAAATTTTACGAAGGATAGAAACTTTAAAAACTCTTTCTTTTTCTCCGGTTTTACTGAAAAATGAGCTAGCCCCTTTCTGGCTATCTCACCCTCCCTTGTCATCCATAAACATGGCCTTATTCTCATTTGTTCCTAATCGATGCAAGCTTTGTACGTGTCCTTCGTCCTTCCCTCAATGTCTAATATAGTTCCAACCAGTGTATCAAACACATTCTTCTCAACATGCATAACATCGATGTTGTGGCGCAATTTCAATCTGGACCAGTACGACAGCTCAAACAACATACTTTTTTGTTTCTAATTTAGATAGGTGTCTGGTCTAGTCTTATTAACTGGTTTGGAAAACTGACCAAAATCGAAACGATTCAAGTGCGCTAAAATATTTTCTTCGGACCATTCTCTAGGTCTTGGTTGAATCTCTGTTTCGTCAAAGAATCTTGTCTCGTTCTGATGCCATTCGTGGTCTCACAGAAACCATCTACAATGCCTAGGTAGCAAACTTTCTCGGCGTGCCAAGAAGACATTGTGTCTTCCTTGCAAACTAGGAATGCCAAATAACCCTTATTACTCTACTCGGACATCATAGCATACGTGGAAAAATTGTTTATAGTCCACATCACTGCTGCTCGCAAGGTGAACATCTGCCCAGTTAATTTATCGTATGTCAGAACTCCATTTTCCCATAAATCTTTCAACTCATCGATCAATGGCCACAAATAAACATTAATAGACTTACCCGGATCCTCGGTTATCAACATAGTCATCATCATATATTCTTTCTTCATGCATTTTCAAAGCGGAAAATTGTACGGAATTGCAAAGATTGGCCAAATGGTGTGGTCAGCCCCAATCTTACGTTCCACAGCTCTTGTGTAAAATCAGGGTACAAATGATCAAACTTTTTCCATGCCTCACCATCAACTAGATGCCTCATCAAATCGTCATCTACCCGTGTGTCCTTATGCCATGTCATGTCGCTAGCAATATGCGTCAACATATACAAATGTTGACGCCTGGCTTTATTGGAAGATAACGCATAACTTTTTGTGAAATCTTTGTTGTTCTATTTTGAGCTGTCATTTTAAACCTTGACTCTTTGCATATAGGGCATTTATCTAGCACTTCATTCTCCTTATAGAACAATACACAATTATTTTTAACACGTGAATTTTCTCATAGCCCAATCACAAACCATTCAACACCTTCTTTGCACTTTTGTGATCTCTAGGCAAACAATTGTCCTTTGGAAGCATCCTCTTGAAAAGGCCCAACAAATAATCAAAGCACTGATTAGACATATGAAATTTTCTTTTTCCATGCATCAGCTTCATAATAGTCGTTAGTATCGAAAAATCCTCTCAACCGGAGTATAATTCTTGTTTGGCACTTTTTAATAGTTTTTCATATTTTTTTAAAGGCTCCATTATCCATGCTTCGAGGAACGTCATCTCCCCCTTCCTGATCAAAATTGGTTGAGATGTCTGGAAAAGTATCATCTAGGATATCCATAATTTGTTCGTTTGGATCAACATAAGATTCAACTGCCTTAACTAATGGGGTCACATGTGAAGATGAAGGATGTATTAATCGTTCCCCATGATGATTCCAAGTGGTATACATCTCCATCATACCGTGTCGTTCTAAATAGTATCAAACATTTTCATAATACTCAACCATTGAATTGTTACAGTTCCTACACGGACACCAGATTAGAGGTAAACCCTGGTTGTGTGCCATTGCAAAATCAACGAACTGATTTATTTCATCCAAGTATTCATCTGCACATCTGTTAGGATTCTGTATCCACTGTCTATCCATATCGCTTGCAGAAAAGAAAAAAAAAACAAAATCACAATGGTTACAAACACTTCAATTATAAAATGCCACCTTATGCCTCTGGTAAGGGTCTTATCCCATTTAGGAATGCACGGCTACATGTCGTATTTTACGGCTCTTTCAAATTCGACGTTGAAAAAATTTGGCAGCATATCCCTGCAGTTCTTCAAGTGCAGCACGTATGTACTAAATACGTACACAGTACTCGAAGAACGTACATACAATTTACCAAATTTCTCCTTATCGAAATCTAATATGTGAACCGCAAACTATGACACATAATTGTGCATTCCCAAACTGTCCAAAAATTGGGACAATTTGAGAATTAATTAGACCGTAGTTATGATTTTGCCTCCATGCGTGAAATCCAACTAATTCTCAAACGAGAAACTAAGTTTCATAAAAATAACACACGAAGTTAATACTTAACTTCATATAAAATGTTTGCACACAAATAAATTGTATCACATAAATGCTAAAAAACAAATAAATAAACTACATTTAATGTTAATGAAATACTCAAAGAAAATATACCTCATAATGCGTTCCCCGCTAATAGTCGTTAAAAAAAAAACCACCTGCACACAACAAATTTAATTTTGTTAGTTTCATTGTGTAATTTTAAAAAAAAAAAAATATTGAAAACAAATTTGCTTACCAAATGATATATAGGTGAGCATGAGACCGAGTGATCGAACTAAGGAAGAGGAGAGACAGTGAGCTGAGGTAGGAGAGGCAGAGCTGCAATGAATTTGCAGTTTCTGCCTTTCTATGTCTGGGAAGCTGAATTAAATTTCACACTCTTACGCAACGGTTATGGCGACACAAGTGCCAGGGAGTAAAAGAGCAATGAAAGTAGTATTAATGATTTCTGGTTGTCTGATCACTCGAAATTATGTATCTACTACTGCCTTTTTTTTACCCACCATGTGCGACGAAACATTTGTTGCGTAAAACATATGCATTTCACGTTGTGGCTCCAACTCATGGCCAGTCCCGCGTCTAATAACCTTTGTGCGACGACGGCGTAGCGTCGCACAATTCCACCTTAAGCGACAAAAAAGTAATTTTGTCGCTATTTGTTAATATTTTTTTTTTTGGTTTTAAAATACTTTTTTTTTTCATTTATTAGTTTATTCATTTTAGATCACATACACACTTAATGAACAAAGTATTAACTTACACCCGAACAAATCTACAAATGTTTAAATTAATTAAACATTCATGCATATTTAGTTAATATAATCTTTTATTACAATAATATTTTATTCAACAAAAACTTTAAAATTGCATATTAAAAAGTAACATTCGTAAATAAAACTTAAAACCCAAATGTTATTATTTAATTAAACATTAAAAAAAAACATAAATAAAATTATATTCTGTTGCTGGTGGTTCTGGTATTCGGTTTAGTTCTGCCTCACATTCAGCATCAAACTTCCACTTCCAAAAAGATGATTTGAATATGTTGTCGATGCACTTCATCAAATTTGGGTCACTTTGTCAATGTCCCAATCAGACTCTAATTCATCAACCAAGTGCATCTTTTTCTCCTTGGGAACGGCTCTCCAAGACTCCCAATCGGCACTGCATTTGTCACACACTAATACCCGCACATCACGCATAAACTTGTTGTGCATATCTGACTTTTGAATTCCTGCCAATTCTTCATAATTGATTCGGTACTGGCTTCCTCCAAAACTGTAGTAGACCACGGTCGCAGCTCTTTTGTTTTTTTTTTTTATATTAAAAATAATAATGCAAATTATAAAATGTATAGAAAACACATAATTAAGTGGGTATTCCCTTTTCTGGAACTCTCACCCTTCATCCTCTTCGACGAACAAGCACCTGAGTCGGCAATCGTGCTTAAATTTGAATAACAATTGGAATTGTAATCCGGAAAAAGATTTGAGAAATATGGAAACCGAAACTGGTTATTTATAGAAACCTTGGCCACCTTCCGTGACGAAAGTTTTATCACACAAAAGCCTCAGCAAATGCCGCACCGATTCTCTGATTCAATAGCATGGAATCCTCTGACTTAGAAAACTGACTGTCTGGAGTAAATATCTTACATGACAAAACCTTTATCGCACAAGACTCCGGAATCATTGCCCTTTGATTTCACCCTTACGTGACGAACGTTTCGTCGCTTAAAACGTATGGATTCGAAATTTGGCGATAAATTTAACCACATTTTTTACGCCCTTTATGTGACGAAAACTTCATCACGGTTGGAAATATGCAGGACGAATAAGTAATTCGCCGCACATACTTATTGTGTCGAATGTTTTGTCACACAAAATGTTTAGTAACGAACAAATACGTAATTCATTATAATTATGAAATTTACGTAAACATAGATCTTTATAATCTATATTTACGTAAATTTCATAATTACAAAGACTTATTCAATTATAATATTATTCTAAAAATAATAGAAAACTTAAATAAAGTAAATTAACCAATTCAATTATTTAAACAACAAAACATGAATTAAAGGCTAATTAAGTCCAAATACATAACTTAAAATAAAACCTTAAAAATAAATATTGTCCTCAAAAATATAAATTTAAAACTACTCCGCTGGTCCTCCATTCCGCTCCACGTCAAACACCACTGCTTGTAACCCTTCTTCAACACCTCTTCCATCAACTTCATCAACTCTTCGTTTGTGTCATCAAGAGTATAGTTAAACTGTTACACATATATGCAAATAATTATTTACAACATATAAAAAAAAATTCACAAGATTAATTATTTTCAACATTTGTCACACTTACTAATAGTTGATCCATCATCACCTTCTTCACGTCCTAGGGCACAAATTTCCAAGAGAGCCACTCAGCAGTAGAACAATTGTCAAGCATTGTTAAATGAACCGAATATGCAAACTCCACATATTACGTCATATCATGGGGCCTGGAGGGAGTGCTGTTTCTTTCCACCATTCGATCCCGGACCGCCGCTCTCCTACTATCCCTATTATCGACCATCAGATGTACAAAACAGTGTGAAGAAAATAGCAAAATAATATGTGCTTATAAAGAACACTTTAGGCGACGAAGGCTTTGTTGCGCACAACCTTTTGAGTGACGAAACCTTCGTCGCGCAAAGTACAAAATAAATACATAATAAATGCCACGACTTCAATGCCACCGACCATCGCTTTGCGCAATGAAGTCTAGTCCCTCAATGTTATGCACAACCAAATTCGCATAATTAAGTGGTAATACGCAGTAAATACAACACCTTAAATGCTAACCGACTGTTTCACTTGCGCGACGAAATCTCGTCCCGCAAAGGTTTTGGCGACAAAAGTTTTGTTTTGTAAAGCCTTGCATGATTAACTAAAAATATTTATTTTATTCCGTCTCAAAAATAGTTTCTCAACAAAATAATGTCAATATTATAATATTTTGGAAATCTGTTCTCAAAACAAAATAAATATAGTCCATTTAAATTTATTCTTCCAAATTAATAATAATTCAATGTCATTATTTAATAAACCATAAATAGACTAATAAAAAACTATTCTAGTCATCCGTTAGAATGGCGAAGCCATGTGAAGGCGAGGAGTGGCGACCGCCACTCCTGGAGGGCTGGTTCAGCCCCTCCCCTCGTTGGAAACTTGACTAGTTTTCACCCCCTCCCTGTTCTGGTGGTCTGGTTCTGCTGTTGGGCAGTAGAGCTGGATCTTTTTTTTTTTTTAAACATCCAGGCAAAAACGACGTCGTTTTGGACTAGGTTAAAAAATAAAAAATAAAACCAAAACAGCATCGTTTTGATAAGTTTGAAAAAGAAAAAAAATATATGGGGGGGACCGCATGTCCCTCTTCCCTCCTCAGACCCGTGTCTGTCCTTTTTTCTTTTTTAACTTTGCCTTTGCCAATCAGAGAGCAAAGCTTGCCTCCCTAATTCCCAATAGCTGAGCAGCAACTTGGCAGCCAACGGATGAAAAACCAGCCACTCTCCAAGCTTTAGCCGCCGCTAGTCACTCCAATCAGTCTCCAGCCACTCTCCAACCGTGGCTTGCAGCTTTCAAAGCCTTTCTTTAGGTAAAATTTTTAATTCCTATATAATCCCTAACCCTAATTAATTATTTAATACGAATGAGTTTTAATTGGTATAGAATCATATGGTAATGCACTAATATGGTTATTGGTTATTGATTATTGATATGATTCTATGATTATTGATATGAAATTATGAAATTATTTTTTAGGGTGAAAATTAAAATTTGAATTCTTGATTCTTGATTAATTAATTGAATTATTCCATAATGTATACAATTATTCTTATTCATATGCTTAGTTGAATTGAATTTTTATTTATTGAATAATTTGTATGCTTATTGAGTTATTGGTATTGATTAATTGAATTGTTGGTTGGATTAGTTATTATGCATATTAGGGGTAATTATTTGGAGCTTATGCAATTGGTTGGATTGGTTGAATTGTTTGGTTGGATTAGTTATTATGCATAGTAGTATAGTGTACTCTAGGATTAAGAGTCTAAGAATTTTTTTTTTCTTTCCATTTTACAATTACGTAATGGAACGATACTATAAGAAACAATGCTTAAATCCTCCTTCAAATATTTTGGGTAGTCCTTCTCCTTCAAATATTCCGAGTAGTCTTCCTCCTCCTTCAAGTATTCCAGGAAATCCTCCTTTGAATATTGAGTAGTTCACAACAAAGTGAGGCCACTGAGTTGGATGAAATATTGGCTAATCTTCCTGCTGACCCTAGATATAGACATCGAATGCTTGATTATCCACCTAATTATCGTGAAGCAATTCATAGACACTATCTCCAAAATGATCCTTGTCAACCTAGAGACCACATCATGCCAAGAAAAGTTAGTGACAAGCGATGTTTTATCACCGTTTGGTTTGATAAGTTTAAGTGGTTGGAGTATAGTATATCAAAAGATGTTGCATTTTGCCGTTATTGTTATCTTTTCAAATGTGATTTCGACCAAATGGGTAGCACTGAAAGTGATGTCTTCATTGAGAAAGGGTTTACAAATTGGAAGAAATGACCCAAAAAACTTCGAGTCTACGAGGGAGGTGTTGGAAGTCTTCATAATAAAGCTATACAATAAGCTAAAAACTTGATGACACAAAAACAACACATTGAAACATTTGTGATCAAGCAAGCTGATGAAGCTCGCCTTAATTATCACACTTTACTGAGTGGAGCACTTGATTGCACAAGATGGTTGTTGCGATAGGGTTTGGCTTTTCGTGGGCACGATGAATCTTTGAAATCAAGCAATAGGAGTAATTATATAGAGCTTGTGCAATTTCTTGCCTATCATAATGAGAAAGTTAAGAAGGTTGTGTTTGAGAATGCTCCTAAGAATCTCAAGTATACTTCTTCCGATATTCAAAAGGATCTTGTTCATGCTTGTGCTATTGAAACTATTAATGCAAGTACTAAAGATATGGAAGGTACATTTTTTTTGTCTCTTGGTTGATGGATCACGTGATGCTTCGACTAAAGAGCAAATGGCAGTGGTAATGTGTTATGTTAATAAAAAAGGAGAAGCAATTGAAAAGTTTTTGGGTGTTCAACATGTCTCTTGTACAATGAGTAGCTTGCTTGAAGAGACCATTGAGAGATTGTTTGCTACAACAAATTTGAGTAGGTCCACGTTACAAGAACAAGGCTATAATGGAGCTAGTAATATGAGAGGTGAGTTAAATGGTCTTAAAACAAAGATTTTGAACAAATACCCTCAAGCATTTTATATTCATTGTTTTGCACACCAACTCCAACTAGCTCTTATATTTGTGGCAAAGGAAAATGAGGATGTTGCCAATTTCTTCATCAATGCTAGTAGTTTGGTGAATCTTATTGGATCATCGAGTAAGCGTCATGATGCATTTAGAGAGAAACAACAAGAACAAATTCAGAAAGCTCTTGATCTTGGTAATCTTGAAATGGGTAAAGGGTTAAATCAAGAAAGTAGTCTCATGTATCCATGTGATACACTGTGGAACTTGCATTATGGTATTATAGTTAGTATTATTGTTATGTTTGAAGTCGTGGTGGAGGTGGTTGAATGGATTAAAAGTGATAGTAACCAAGATAATCTTGATGAAGCAACTAGGTTATTCAAAGACATACACTTTTGATTTTGCGTTTCACCTTTTCTTGATAAGACTTATATTGGGAATTACAAATGAGTTATCACAAGCATTGTAAAAGAAAGATCAAAATATTGTGAATGCGATGGTGTTAGTGGAAGTATGCAAGACTACAATCCTTTAGAGATGATGACTTTGGGGACTTGTTTCATGATGTAGAAAAGTTTTTTGATGAGCATGATATTATCATTCCTAACATGGAGGATTTGCATTTCGTACCTGGAAAATCAAGGCGTAAGGCTCCAAAAATCACAAACTTCCATTATTATCATGTGGACCTCTATTTTCAAGTCCTTGATATGCAACTAAAGGAATTGAACAATCGCTTCAATGAGATAAACACCGAGTTGCTTCTTTGTATGGCATGTTTGAGTCCAGTGAATATCTTTTGACAAAGCAAAAATTGTTCGTTTAGCCCAACTTTATCCTCAAGATTTTGATCGTATGAACCTCATGAATCTTCCAATTCAACTTGACAATTATATTCATGATATAAAGATGCATAGTGAGTTTCCATCATTGAGAGGAATTAGTGATCTTGCAAAAGAGTTAGTGAAGACCGGGAGGTGTGAAAGCTATATGTTAGTGTATAAACTTCTTATATTGGCTTTAGTGTTACCGGCTGCAACCGCTTCGGTGGAGAGAGCTTTTTCTGCTATGAAAATTGTGAAAACACCATTGCGTAACAAAATGGGAGATCAATGGTTGAGTGATAGCATGGTTGTTTACATTAAGAGATATATATTTTCTTTTATTAAAAATGAGCCTATTATATGATGTTTTCATGACATGAAACCTCACCAGCAATAATTGTAATTTGTTTGTATAGATTAATTATGGAAGACATTACTATATAAAAAGATTTATTTGTTGCCATTTTTCTTTAACCTTGCACTCTTTTAAGTTCACCCCTCCTCCCGAGAAATCCTGGCTTCACCACAATCCGTTGGTCCAACCACTCCATGCCACTCTGCGTCACGTTCAACATCAAACTTCAACTCTTGAAAATGATACTTGAACACGACGTCTGTGCACTTCATCAGATTTGCGTCACTTTTGTTAATGTCCCAATTAGGCTGATATGCAAAAATAAATGAATTATACAAATTTTATCTAAAGAACTAAATTATTGTTTAACTAATTAATAATTTACACGTACTGCTAATGCATCGATCATGACCGTTTTTATCTCCTCAGGGACGTCTCTCCAAGACTCCTAATTCACTCCGCATCTGTCACACACCAATACCCCAACGTCACCCCTAAACTTGTTCACCATATCCGACTTCTAATATCCTACTAATTTTGCGTAAGTGATTTGGTAGCGGCTCTTAGCTGAAGAAGTGTATCGAACGCATGTCGCAACTTTCTTCTTTTTCTTGTCTACCAACAAAATAAAAACTTACATTAGTCTACTTAAATATTTAAATAATTAAACAACCAACAAAATTTAGTACGTATTACCTTTCTCAAAACCTTCGCCCTGAACTCTCTTTGACGAAGGACCACCAGAGTCCGCCATCGCGTACGGAAAAACAAACAATAATTGGAATAATAATTCAATGAAAGTAAAGAGTTTTCGGATTGAATTGTGAAGAGAAATGGCGAAATTGGCTATTTAAAGGAATTCAGACTCTTTGCGCGACAAAACCTTCGTTGCGCAAAACCATGGAGTAAATACCACATTAACACTGTGACCGAACAACTGACAGATCCTTTGCACAACGAAAAATTGGTCGCGCTTTTTTGGCTTAACAAATACAAGCATTCGTGCATTTTTCTGCAAACCTTTCTGCCACAACAAGTTTTTTTTGTCTCTTAAGCTACTTTTGTGCGACAAAACATGGCGTCGCTTAACATGTTTATCCCATTAAATTATTTTTGACCGATTTGAGCAATGAAATATTACCTTCATCACGCTAACCTGTTTTGGGCAACGAGTGTTACATCATTGCATAAAGTTTGGTCGTGCAAATGATTTTTTCTACTAGTGATCCCAGGCAAGCCGACCAATTCTAACACCCGCACGTTGGCCAAATCTAGCTAGCTGGACCTAGAACTGGTCCATCCAAATGGGTTATATAAGTTCCTAGACCACATTTGGTTCAGACCAAATGGATTAGTCCAACTAGAAAATTGATGATCAAACCAATAGTGGTACCGATCCATTTTTCAGCAATTTCGACCCGTCCCAACTAAAACTTCATGCCTGATAACCACTACACTTCCACTACCCACAGAGATGCCTATCAATCTAGCCCCTCCACTCAAAATGGTGAACCAAACCTATCCTGGTAGGTCGCAAACTTGATAAGCGCACTAGTATAGCAATCCACTTTGGTGAGACATTCTATCAGTAAATGATGTTCAAGCTTAATAACACAATATTATATGGAGATAAACTTACATATGTCATTTCAATAATGAAATATGATTGACACGAGATGATATGGTGGTGGAGAACTCATTTCATATAAGTCTTTCTCATGTTGAGCTGGATTACGAATGACAGTAGTTAAGTAATTAAAATCTTGATGACACGCTTAAGCTCTTGTGTGCAACTCCAAGTATTGATATCGCTTTGTAATAATTAAATAAATAAATAAGAGTGGCATAACTGACACTCTAACAAAATCAATTTACACTACAAAAAAAATATCAATAAGCTCTCATAAACAATACATAATCTAATTTGAAGTGAGTTCCTTAGAGTAAACCATGGTAAAATGGGCTGACCCACCCACTTCACAAGACAACCCAATCAACAGATGGTTCCTAGCTGATGGAGTGTCTTGGGCCAGATAGGAACAGAAAACTGATTGTCTGCTTATGTTTTGTTTTGTTTATTTTATTTTGTGGTCAGAATTCAGAAGGATTGAACTAAAATTGCCTTGAACTCACTTCAAACATGACTTCGGATGTCAGCAAAGACGAGATTGCACGGGAAAGCGTGAATCAAATGTGCCCCATAAAAAAATAAAAATTAAAAGTAAAGAGGAAATTGCATGCTTTAATATTTTGAATCGTGGCAAAAGATTATTCAGTTGTGGCAACAAACAAATGTGGATTCCAAACTGCTTTCTACAAGTTAATATTCGTAACTAAGCGAAAAGAGTTTAAGACGTTTTATACGAGCTTAAATTGCCAAATTGTCTTGCTCACTTAAACCATTTGAATCAGTTGATCTGCCTTTCGTAAGTGAGGTGTGAGCTAATTGTGATCCTCCGCCTACACCTCGTGCTATTTATAACATAGGAATGCAATTTTTCACTTGTAAAACAATGCAGTATGACTTTTCTGAAGTGTAACTCGGGCAACGAACCACGAATTTATTTTGTGTGCTTTAACGTGCCTCAATTCAGAAAACTTGTCTAACAAGTAACCTATTGTTTGCCCACTCTAACACCATATACTAACCTAAAAGACTCGTCTCACCCCAACAAGAATGATTTATATGAAACATGTTTATCATTATGTGATGTCCAGATCCAATAATACAATGTCATGTGTAAATTTCTCTCCACATAATATTGCTTTATTGAATGGAATAATATACAATGGTGAACCCTTTCCATGCAAATTACTCTCCACCCAAACCTACTACAAATGTTCCACCTCTGATGCCATGAATTAAAAAATCTTTTGTGCATGGTCTACACTTTTGTTCCTTATTGAGGTAGGGTTCCCCACCCCCTCCCCTTAATCATGCTTGATTTAGTGTAGGCTAACAAGATTGATATAGGTATGCCTTGGTGGTTACATATAGGTCCCAGAAATTAGGCTAAATTTTGGAAGATTAATTATTGAAGTATAGGATGCCCTTCCTTCCATCTCAATTGACAATTCTAGTCCATGTTAAGGTGCTTCATCAAACTTCTCTTATTTAGTTTTATCTTCTATTTCTCTGTCGAACTGAAAAAGTGAAAATTAAGTGCTATTTTTTTTTTTTAACAAACGATATTATTTATTACTAAAGGGTGGGAGAATAGGTTAAGCCCTACAATGGACTAGCAATAATATGAGCTTCCTGGGTGGCAATGATCTGGGCCATCTTAGACTCTTGGGCAACAATATGAGCTTCATGGGTGGCGATGTGGGCAGATTCCATCTCAATGTGCTTATGTTGGACCGCCACCTGTTGCTTGAGTTCTCCTATTTTCTCCATCAATGATGTGACCTGTCCAAGGTAGAGGTGGAAAAAGAGGCTCCCGTCTCACGATGGCAGGCATTTCCCATACCATACACCTTCCCCCGTGCGAGGACCAAGTCTCTAGTCGAGGGTGTCCGTCATGATACGGAGACCCCTAGCCTCGAAGGGTAGAGGTTAGCTAGGAAGCCACTTCCTCAAGTTACTGATCCATTTTTCAATGGATTGGTCCAACCAGAAAATCGATGATCAAACCAACAATGGTACCGATCCATTTTTCAGCGATTTCGACCCGTCCCAACTAAAACTTCATGCCTAATGACCACTACACTTCCACCACCCATAGAGATGCCTATCAATCTAGCCCTTCCACTCAGAATGGTGAACCGAACCTATCCTAGTAGGTTGCAGACTTGAAAAGCGCACTCACATAGCAATCCACTTTGGTGAGACAGTCTATCGATAAGTGATGTTCAAGCTTAATAACACAATATTATATGGAGAGAAACTTACATATGTCATTTCAATAATGAAATATCATCGACACAAGATGATATGATGGTGGAGAACTCATTTCATATAAGTCTTTCTCATGTTGAGTTGGACTACGAATGACAGTAGTTAAGTGATTAAAAGCTTGATGACACGCTTAAGCTCCTGTGTGCAACTCCAAGTATTAATATTGCTTTGTAATAAATAAATAAAAGTGACTTAACTGACACCCCAAAAAAAATCATTTTACACTGCAAAAAAAATATCAATAAGCTGTCATAAACAAAACATAATCTAATTTGAAGTGAGTTTCTTAGAGTAAGCCATGGTAAAATGGCTTAACCCACCCACTTCACACAAGACAACCCAATCAACAGATGGTTCCTAACTGGAGCGGTATCTTGGGCCGGATAGGAACAAAAATTAGAGACCATATTCTCACAAAGACGAAGCTCAATGACCTAATAAGTTTCTAACCATCTTCATTCTTTTATCTATCTATTGTTTATTATAATCTGATGAATTTAATCATCACAATATTTAGCTGTATATCTCACTTTTCCATTTACTGAAAACTATTTGACTGTTTACGTTTTGTTTTGTTATTTTATTTTGTGTTGAGAACTCAGAAGGATTCAACTGAAGTCAGTGATGGATCCATATAGGGAGCCGGGAGGTTCCGGGATCCTCCGAAAGCTTGAAGAAACACTTGTGATCGACCTTCGAGACCCTCCAACAATTTGGGCAGGTGCAGAGGGACGGATCTGTTAAGGGGCCTGGGTGGTCCTAGCACTATCGGAAGCCGGGATAAATTTTTGTGAGGACCTCCGAGGATCACCCAAGTTTGGGCATATATGGTGTTGGAGAAGAGGAGCGGAGCTGCAGAGTGTTCTGGTATTCTGCAAACCAGAAAGAAGAAAGAATACTACTTTTTATTCAAATGACTTGGGAAAACGGTGCATTTGATGTATGGTTTGAAAAAAAACCTTCTAAGTAAAACGGTGCGTCGATACAACGTTCTTTAATATATAGTTTTTGCAAATTTTTATTAAACAAAATGGTTCAACTTTCAAACAGAGTCAGAACTTTTCCAATTCCATATCTAACTCCTAATTGGCTAATCCCATTCTCCAGTCAC